AGGGGTTTGGGACTTTAGGGGTTTAGGGGTTTAGGGTGTAGGGTTTCGGCGTAGGGTTTAGGGTGTAAGGTACCCTCCTGGCTCTCGGGTGCCCTATACAAATCTGTTAACAAGTAATGTAGGGGGATACCCTAAACCCTAAACCCTAAACCCTAAACCCTAAACCCTAAACCCTAAACCCTAAACCCTAAACCCTAAACCCTAAACCCTAAACCCTAAACCCTAAACCCTAAACCCTAAACCCAATTCGAAGAACCGGTAAAGTTGAGGTCGGGCTTCGAGGGGTCGAGGCGGTGTCGGGATATGCTTTCTTGCCTGTAGGGTTCTGATTTCAGGGCTATGCACGCCATTGCTGACATGTGGTTGGGTTTGCACCCTAAACCCTAAACCCTAAACCGTGGCTTTTGAGGCCGTGCGACTTCCTGATCTGATTAGCGTGTATCATCAGCAAGGTTTCCGCTTGTGGACAACAACTGCGCTCGAATAACAAAGGCGTCCTGCACATGAGGCCACGTTATCAGAGTCTTCAGCCTAAACCCTAAACCCTAACCCTAAACCCTATACCCTAAACCCTAGGGTTCTATGTACCTAAGCCAAGAAATGCGTAACCAAGCACGCCAGCAAGACTTTCTGTTTCTTAGTCAGGAGGGAATGAGGGAATTGGGGTACTAAGCCCTAAACCCTAAGAACTAGTAGCCCTAAACCCTAAACGCTAAACCCTAAACCCTAAACCCTAAGAACCAGTAGGGAAGAAGCCACCAGCCGGCCAGTGTGGGAAGTTCCTCGTTGAGGCGGGCGTCCATTTGGTCCACTGCCCTCGTTGCAACAAGGACTTCCCTGAAACGCTACACTCTGTAGCTAGGTTTAGGGTTTAGGGTTTAGGGTTTAGGTTTTAGGGCTTACGGTTTAGGGTTGATGGTTTCCCTAGAAGCCCTACTAAACTCGAGTTTTTACTAGGTGGCTAGCCCTTTAAGCTTGAGATACAGCATCCTATACATTCCGTATACTTAAAGCGCCCAGAAGGTGTGTACAGAGGACCCACCTGGGGGTTTCCGAAAATAGGGGGTGCCTTCTTGGGGTCCTTTTTGTAAGGGAGTCCTTCTCTTTGGGGTCTATTTTAGGATACTTCGTATTGTCGTAAACCCTCCACATCATGAGCATCACGCCATATCATGCCTGAACATTTGCTGGAGGTTTTGGCCACTGCATGTGCTCGTGTACCACCATGTTCGGAAGTCCCCGCTACACAAAGCCTAAACAAGTTTTTGTCCAGTGGTTTGTCGGTTGTCTTTCAGGTGTCGAGTTTCTTTGGACCCTAAACCCTAAACCCTCAGTCCTGAACCCTCAAATCCAATACCCCCACACCCTAAGACCTGAACCCCGAGACTCTTTAGGCAAACCCTACTTGGAGGTTCATGGGTAGATAGAAGTGGGGTGATAAGTGCCCTAAATACAGGGTGATAGGTATTTCACCCCTAAACCCTAAACCCTAAACCCTAAATCCCAAACCCTAAACCCTAAACCCTAGAACCCTGGAAGTCAGGCCTTAGACTCTCAATTCCGTTCCCTGTCCATTGGGTGGTGGGTTGATAGTTTAGGCTCTGTATAGTAGGGTTTGGGGTTTAGGGTTTAGGGTTTAGGGTTTAGGGTTTAGGGTTTAGGGTTTAGGGTTTAGGGTTTAGGGCTTATGGGGCCGCCAGGAGTTCTGCCCGCACTGCCTGCACAGCAAGCACGAGGGCGTCTCCTGCGAGGAGATCAAGGCCCAGTCAGGCTTTGGGGTCTTTGGGTTTAGGGTTTAGGGTTTAGGGTTTAGGGTTTAGGGTTTAGGGTTTAGGGTTTAGGGTTTAGGGTTTAGGGTTTAGGTGGAAACCTAAGCCCCTGAACCCTAAACCCGAACTAGACCCGACACCTCTAAACCTCAAACTTAAAGCCCCTGAAGCCCCCTCGGCCGTTTTGCAAAGATGCTTCATTTCTTTGGCCGACGGATGTTGTGGGAGGTCAGAGGTTGCACTGCGACGCTGCTTCTTTGTGGTTTATGGGTTTAGGGTTTCGGGGTTTAGGGGTTTAGAGCCTAGATTTTAGGGGCTTAGGGATGGTTGTAGTGGGTAAGGGGTTGTAAGGGTTTAGGGGGTTGAGGGCCTTTGGGTTTAGTGCCAACCAGTTTGTTTCGCAGACTCGTTTGGGCCCTGGATGGCTACGCTAGAAGAGCCACAAGCTTAGGCCATCAGTCCCCAAATTCTACTTGCTATCAGTCCCCAAAATATATACTTAGCACAGTGGTGGGGTTCTCCTGGAACTTAAACCCTAAACCCTAAACCCTCAACCCTAAACCCTAAACCCTAAGCCCCACAACCACCAAAGTTCCTAAAAACTGACATTTAAAGGGGGGTTTGGGGGGTCTAGGGTTCCCTGAATTTTGAATCTGTTAAGGTCTTAAGTCCGTGAGCCCTAGAGCCAATACATCCTGAACCCTAAGCCCTAAACCCTACACCCCAAACCCCAAAACCTAAACCCTACACCCTACAGTAAACCCTAAACCCTAGACCCTAAACCCTAAACCAAATCCTGAACCCCTAAACCCCTGAAGGGGGCCCTCTGGCCCTGGCAGGCGTGGCGCAGGGAAAACTCGCAAGCAGACAGGCATTTTGAGGTGCCGCAGGGAGGGGTTTAGGGTTTAGGGTCTAGGGTTTAGGGTTTAGGGAGGGGTTTATAGGGGTTCAGGATTATGAGGGTGTTGAAGGGTTTTTCCGGGCTTAAAGGGTGTTGGGGTTGAGCGTGTGAGGGTTTGTGACTCAGGGGGTTTTGAGGTTGAGGTTTGGGGGGTCTAGGGCTGTACATTTCACCCACTTATAAGCCCTGAAGTGCCATGATATGGTTAGAAGTACAGCTATGAGTGCAGTCATAGTTCGTTACTAAGTACCATGAACCTCCAAGTAGGAGCCCTTTTAAACTCATAAGCCTAATGATTGAGTCCAACAAATTCGACCCCTCTTGACCCAGCAAACCCCAAACTCGAAGCCCCACACCCTGAACCCTGAACCCTGAACCCTAAACCCTCACCCCGCACCCAAGGGGCAGAAAGTACATAAAACCTCATATCCACTCATTCGAACCCTAAACCCTAAACCCTAAACCCCAAACCCTAAACCCTAAACTCTAAACCGGGGTACTGAAAGGGCCGTGGGAAGACGGGTTGGAAGGCTGCGGCAGAGATGTCCTTGCTAGAGCTAGAGCTGCCACTCTTACGAGTGGTCTTTAACCCTAAGCCCTATAAGCCCTAAACCCCAAACCCTAAATTAACCCCTAAACCCCTAAACCCTAAACCCTAAACCCTAAACCCGTCCGGGAAGCGCTCGCGGGCACCCTGCCTCCCCCACTGCAGGATCTTATGGCCCGCGAGCAGTGGCGCAGGTGTCCAAGGTGCGCACTCGGGGTTTACAGAGGGTTTAGGGTTCAGAGTTTTGGGGTTCAGGGAGGGCTTACTGAGGGTTTAGGATTTTGGGTTTTTGGGGCTTTACGCTTTGGAGTTGCGGATTTTAGGTTTATTCAGGGCTTATAGGGCACTTGTACTCGTACCAATGGGGGCTGTTGCATATTAAAGCTATTTTCGGGGGCGGGTTGGGGGGTGCATGGTCTGGGATGGGGAGGCGGGGTGGCGAGTCACATTGCAGATTCCCGAAACTGATCGGGGGGCTCATGACTTCGATTGTTGCCTGCATTTCCCAGGGCTCGTAGAACTCTGCTCAGGTTGAGGGTTTAGGGTTTAGGGTCTATAGGGTTTAGGGTTTAGGGTTAACGGGTTTAAAGGGTTTGGGGGCACCTCTCCGCAGACACCCAAGCCCTCAGCCCTAAATCGTCAAGCTTCAAGCTCTATACCGGCGACCCGAGAACAGCAGCCCAGAAAGCCCTCCACCCCGAAATACCCTAACCGTAAACCCTAAACCTTCTGGGCGGTTACTACACAACTTGGGTGCCCCATCACGCTTCGGCCTTGTCACGGCGTGGAGGATGGCGCCAGAAAGATCTGAAAGTTTATAACTCAGGGTTTAGGGTTTAGGGTGGCCCCGTCCATACATCCATGCAAGCCCATGCGAAATCTCTTTACCCCCTCCTGCACTACAAGGACCAGAGACCGGAATTCCTTGCCTGAACTCTGATCCGACAGATCTCAAGAGGCCAAACCCCAAACCCCCCCCCCCCCCCCCCGGCCCCGCTAGAATCCCAAACTCCAAGCCCGGAAAACCTTAACACCCAAAGCCCCTCTGGCCCTCAGGAAGCCCCATGAGTTCTAACATCCCAAAACCCTAAACCCCCAAACCTTATAAACCCTAACCCCCAAACTCTAAACCCTGAACCCTAGACCCTTGGTGAACCCCCTAAACCCCTAAAGCCCCCTTTAGGTGCGGTGCGCCCTCAGCGCGGGATTCTGGCTGCAACTTCATGCAGTGCAGGTGCGCAGTGAGGAGAGTAGCGCTGCTCACTCGTTTGAGGCTTAAGGCTTCGGGGTTGTTCGGGCTACATATGTATGTATATATATATATACTTATATATATATATACACATGGACATATACGTATTTGTTTATATATATATATATATACATGTATGTATGTATAAATAAATATATATATATATATGTGTTTAGATTTGTAGGTGTCACACAACATGTTTCACAATGAGTGGAGCATACACATGCGACATTGGCTCAAGCCGTCAAAAGTGATTGCACCTGCAGTGTTAGTTCTGCCTTAAACTCCGTTCATGGTAGCGGAGCTGTCGGTTTGAATGGACAGCAGACGCGACCTTGCTGACGAAAGTGCTGAAAGTGACAACGAAGGTTTTGCTGTGGTGCAAGCTCCCGCTGTGCACCGCTGGGAACGCTTGATCCGTTTACTTTATCGGATTAGGCGACTGCAAAGGATTTGGGGCCTTCTGGGCCAGCATCTCCAGACTTTCGTCCAAAGCAGCGAGTTCCGCCGTCGGCTGGCTAATCGTTTGCGATGAGCAGCCAGGAACAGCAACAGGCACAAGTGACTGCAGCGCAAGTGATGCAGGAGCTTGTGAATCTGAGAAACGAACTCACAAGGCAACGCGAAGAGAATGATCGGCTAAGGGCCGAGCAAAGCACAGCACTTGAGCGAGTGCGGCAAGAGAGTGCAGCTCAAGTTGCGGAAGTGCGAGCACAGGCGCATACGGCAGTGCAGCAGGCGACGGCTCAGATGGGCACGATGCCACAGTTGGTGAGCGACATGGTCAAGTCGAACAAGGAACTGGTTGAGGCCATGGCAAAGAAAGGAGGACCAAACGAGAAGCTCTGTTTGGTCGACACAAAGGGCCTGGGAAAGCCGACGACCTTCTCAGGTGAGAGTGAACAGTTCCTACCATGGAGGCATCGAATGTCGAGCTACGTTTGTTCGATCCACCATGATCTGCAAGAAGTTCTAGAGTGGCTCGAAGAGAGGGAGAAGCCATTCTCCTCGGAGGAGTTGGACACAGCCTTTGGAGAAAAGGCGTTGGAGGCGGATCGAGTTCCCAGACTGCAAGAAAAGTCGAGGGAGCTCGCGAACGCGCTCCAAATGGTTACCTCGAAGGAACCATTTACGATCGTGTGCAATTGCCAGAACAACGGGTTCGAGGCATGGAGACGCCTTACGAGGCGATACGATCCTGCGACTGCAAGCAGGAAGCGCACGATGTTGAGAGCGATTATATCGCCCCAGAAGCAGAAGCTGGAGAATCTCCCTCAGGCCATCGAAGAATGGGCCGACGCTGTGCGCACTTACGAGAAGCGCAAGGACAGCACAGGGCGACGAACGACCCTGGCTGATGAGATAAAGATGGCAGCACTGGAGGCAATGTTGCCACAGGAGCTGGAGTCTCACATCCAGTTGAACCAGAGCCGGTTCTCCACGTACGACGACGTGCTCGACGAGGTGACTCGCTTCATCGAGTACAAGACAGGAAAGAGTCTGAAGGTGATTTCTGCAGCCGCAGCCAGTGCGGCGAGCAAGGATGATCCTATGGACCTGTCGTATGTGGAGAAAGGCAAAGGAAAAGGAGCAAGCAAGGTCGTGTGCCACAACTGCGGCAGGAGCGGACACTATGCCCGCGACTGCTGGAGCAATGGAGGCAAAGGTTCGCAGCAGCAACGGGGCTCACCCAAAGGTCCAGGGCAACAAGGAGGAAAACCAAGCAGCAAAGGAGGAAGAGGGAGCCCCAAAGGAGGAAAGGACAAAGGAAAAGGTAAGAAAGGAAAAGGCAAAAAAGGGAAAAGGCAAGAAAGGTGGTAAGAACAAGAAACACGTAGGAAACATAGAAGAAGGAGGAGAGAACACAGGAGAAGGAAACCAGGACGAGAACTGGCAGGAAGGAGAAGAGGATGAAGGCTGGGAAGACGGAGACTGGGGAGAAACCTGGGAGGACGGTTGGGAGGAAGCAGAAACAAACAACCTCTACGTGGGAGCGTTAGAAAGAGAGAGCCCGAAGAGAGAGAAAGAGAAGAAGGAGAAAGAGTCGAAGCCAGACCCCGGCAGTCGTGGCTCAAGTAGGGAAGAGGGCTCCGGCCCGACCGTGCTTGGGGCCATGGCGCCAAAGAACCCGAAAAGGAAGGTTCCTCCAAAGGAGGAAAAAGACGAGGATGAAAAGGAGCTGGAAGCTCTGGAAGAGCAAATGGACAGAGCAAGGGGTCAGTTCCAAGACCTGAAGGAAAAGGTGGAACTTGCGAGGAGACGTCGCCAGGAAAGACTTCTTCAGGAAGCGGAAGAGCTGGCAGAAGCCAGGAGACGTTCCCGCGGCGAGGTGCCAGGGCAGTCCAGCTTCGGAGCGTTTTCGTCTTCGTCGCGAGGACCTCCGGAGAGAGTGCGCGAGCCAAAGGCCGGAAAGAAAGAGGAGAAGAAGGAGGTGAGGTCTAAGGCTTTGGACACGGCACCCTGGAAGCGCGTTTCGCGCTACCGGGAGCCACCAGTGCCTGAGCCCAAGACCCCTCCAAAGGCGAAGCAAGAAAGGCCGAGAACACCGCCGAAGTCACCACCGCCTTCCAGGACCAAAAGTCCGCTTCTCAAGCCGAAGGTAGAGCCAAAGAGAACAGAGCCAAAGTCACCACCTTCGAAGCCAAAGGTAGAGCCGAAGAGAACAGAACCAAAGTCACCACCTTCGAAGCCTCCACCTAGAAGTGAAGAAGTGCAGCCAAGAAGCGAAGAGGTGGAGAGACAACTTGCTACCACAGCGCCGAAGTGGGGAGCCTCAAGGAGCCAAAGACCTGTGGCGAAGGCAAAGCCAAAGCTTCTAAGGAGTCCGGCGTCTTGGGCAGGAATGCGCTTCAGGGAACGTGTGGCCCACCAAGATGCCATACGAGACAAGAAGCCCAGAGGCACCGTCGGGGAGTCCTTACTGAAGAAGCAAGGCGAGGCCTGCTCCACCTGCGTGTCAAGGCGACTGAAGTTCAGGAGCAAAGCGTCCCTTCTGCTGAAGAAGAGGATGAAAGAGTACAAGGCAGCAGCTGCAAAAGCAGCGGGCTCCCACTACGCCAGGAAAGTTTTCGAAAGAGAAAAGCTTGTGAGGGCCGACAGGCCCAGCAAGGCTGAACTGAGGAGCGCAAAGGTAGCCGAGAAGGTGAAGCAAAGGGAGGAAGAAGCCGCTGGTGAAGAAGAAGAAGAAGACAAGTTTTCCTTGGAGCCGGAGAGCTCCGAGGACGAAAGCGACTTCGAGGATGACCCTCCAAGCGAGGGGCCCGAGGAACCCAAGAAGGAAGAAAAGAAGAAGCCACCAAAGCAGGAAGAAGGAACCGAAGGAGCAACCGCGATCACGGCAAGCACCTCGAGCAGCATGCAAAGGATGCTAGCGTCGGGTCTTATGGAGACCAACCGTGCGAACCTCGCGGTCTTGGACCAGAGGATCGCGACAAAGAGAGAGAAGCTCGAGGGACGCGGCAGTGACCCAGAGCTGGAAGCCGAGATCGCGAGCCTGGAAGACGAGCGGAAGCGCCTGAAAGAGGAGCGTGAGCGCCTCAGGGCGCAGCAAGCGGGCGTGAAGAAAAAGGAACCCGAACACCGCAGAGACCAGTCGGTGCACGACGTGCGCTACAAACGCCAAGTGGAAAAGGGAGACAGCCACTGGAAGGCTTGGCGTGCGGAAAAGGGACGAAGGAGAGCGCAAGAGCACAGACGCAGCGGTGTGGGCGAAAGAGCAAAGGAGAGGATCGAGGCCGACAAGAAGTGGCACGCCCGGCACGACGTGAAAGTGAAAAAGGGCGACTTCCGCGATAACCAGAAGGAAGAGGTCGACGGCATCGACACGGAGGTTATCCACAGCGATGGGACGGAGGCCAAGCCCGAGCGGCGAAAGGACTACCGCCCCCTCACGAAAGCCGAAAGGACGAGCCACCGCGTGGATGCCGACGACGAGGAGGAGCTCTACCGGAAGGAGCTCGAAAAGCAGGAAAGGCCGAAGGCGACCGGGCGCTACTCGGCGGACCCGTCGATTGCGGCCGAGCAGAAGAAGAAGAGGAACCAAAAGAGAAACCAAAGGCGCAACAAGCTGAAGAGGAAGCTTGGGTCGACCTGGGATCCAGAGCACAAAGGAAAGAAGAAGGTCAAGAAAAGCGAAGACGACGACGAGGAGACTGTGCACTGTGAAGACTACGACGACCGCCGCGACCCAAGAGGAGAAGACCCGGAGGACCCGGGCGAAGGAGGCGTGCGCCAATCGGTGCACAGCTTCGAGACCGTGGATGCTGCCAGCCTGGGCGCTTCGCCAGGCGTGGCTAGCGTCGAGGTCAACTTTGACACGGGAGCGGCCGTGACCGTTCTGCCTGAGAAGTACGTGACGCAGCCAAAGGACAACGGCGTCCGCTACAAGACGGCGTCAGGTGAGGCGCTGAAAGACCAAGGAAAAGCCGAGGTCACCGGCACTTTGTCGGGAGGCCGTGGGGCCACGATCACCGGCCGAGGCGCCGGGGTCCACCGCATACTCCTGTCAGGAGCACAGGCGTGCAAGACGCATTTTGCGTTTCTGCACGGAACAGGAGGCTTGCTGGTCCCAAAAGGAACTGCTTTCGCTAAGGAGGCCGACGAGGCGTTGCGCCAGTTGGCTTGGAAGCACAAGGGTGTCGGAACCAAGATGCAAGTGAAGAACGGCATCTACGTGTTTCCTCTGCAAGACGAGAAGAAAGGAGTGAAGGGCGGAAGCAAGGGCCAAGACGGCCTGGGTTTCACGGGGCGTCCGTAGACGGTGTAAGGCCCAACGGGCTTAGCGTTTCACCCCTAGACGAAGAGGCTGAGATGGTTGAGGAAGCGGCAAAAAGGAAAGCCGCCGGAAAGGCAACGCTCAAGGTGTTGGCCAAGGAAGACAAGAAGAAAGAGAGAGAGCGAGAGAAGAAAGAGAGGAAAACGACACAACAAGGAGCAAGCGCAAGCATACAAGTGCCAGCAGCAGCGCCAGCAGCACAACAGCAACAACAGCAGCAGCAGCCAAGCGAGGAAAAAGGAGGCACTGAAGACGACCGCTTTGCCGAGGAGCCGGAGGCTCCAGGCGAAGAACAACAGAGGGCGATAGTGCCGAAGAGCCCAGACCAGCCAACGGCTGACCAGATCGCACAGCACGAAGCCTCGGGGCACGCGGTGCACCGTTCCTGGTGCGTCCACTGCCAGAGAGCGCGAAAGATGGTGAATCCACATTACCGGATTCGGAGAGCCGAACTTGAGACATCTTTGCCGACGCTACACATGGACTACTTCTTCCTGGGCAAAGAAAGCAGGAAGACGACGTGATGCCGCACCTGGTGGTTCGGTGCGACAAAACGCAGCGCACTTGGGCAACTTCGTTGCCCGAGAAAGGCACGCATGCGTACAACGTCACGTGGTTGGCCAGCGTGATACGCGAGGCCGGATGGAAGAGGATGTGTTTATTCTCAGATAATGAACACGCCCTCCGTGCGCTCAAACTCAAGGCCTCCGAAGAAGTCCAAAATGTAGTGTTCGACTTGAGAGAGAGTCCTACAAGTACGGAACACGAGAATGCGCCATCGAACGGCATAGCCGAGGCCGCAGTGAGAGAGGTGAAGCGAATGGTCCGAGCTATCCTGTCGGAGCTGGAGACAAAGCTTAAGATCGAGGTGGGCGTGGACCACCCGATTCTCGCCTGGATCGCGAGGCACGCAGCGTTCTTGATGACACGTTTTCGCATTGGCGAAGACGGGAAGTCAGCTTACGAAAGGACGCTGGGCCGACCGTGGAGGCGACCTACCATTGTCTTTGGCGAACAGGTGATGTTCAAGCCAGTTGGTTTGAAACACAAGCGAGGAAGCCTAGATGCAAGAGTTTGCATGGGACGTTACGTCGGAACTGCGTCGAGGAACGCAGACTTGCTGATCATGACGTCCGAGGGTATATCCCGGGGCCACTCCTTGCACAGGAGGCCCGAGGATGAGAAATGGCCTGTTGAAGGTTTCGAAGTGCTACGCGGATTGCCTTGGAGGATGTCCGGTCCACAAGAGCGAGCGTCGCCCAACCGAGTTGGTATGCCCGCTCTCGAAGGCGAACAACCCGCGCCACAACACCGAGACTTCAAGGCACGCAACCTGTACGTCATGAAGTCCGACATTGAGCTGTACGGCTACACGCCTCAGTGTCCGGGATGCGATGCGCAGCTGATGGGTCTCCCGCAGCGAGCGCACAATGACGAGTGCAGGATGAGAGTGCAGAGAAGACTGCAAGAAACCGACGAGGGAAAAGAAAGAGTGAAAAGGGCCCAAGAGCGAGTTGAAAAGGACTACGGAAAGCGGGTCAAAAGAGACCAACCCGCGCTGGAAGGAAGACCTGCCCCCGACGCAATGGATGTTGCAGCAGAGGAAGCGGCAGGCGCACCTTTGTCCAGACCAATGGAGGTCGAGGACCGCGCCGAGCCGAAACAGCGGAAGCGCGCAGCGTCCAAGGACGTCGAGGACCTTTACCGGGAAGAGCCCAGCACGAGGGCTACCGATGGTCCAGATGTCGAGGTCATTGGAGTACACGTGCAAGGGGGAGCAAGTGGCTCTGCAGGACCCGGCCTGGACCACTCACGCCAACAAGCACGAGCAGATGCAGAAATGTACGACACAGCAACGGCGAATCCGCCGCCAGCCAACGAGGAAGTGCGAATGAACCTGATTACGCGGATGTTCGAACAAAAGGGGCTCAAGTGCAGCCCGACTGAAGCGAAGGCCATAAACTCTATGGTTCTACAGTTGGGAGGTAATGGCAATTCAGCTGTGCCCTGGAGCATGGTGAATGAAGGCATTATCTTGCCAATGGACCAAGAGCCGCCGATGTTCGCTCAGGCTGAGCATTTGCGTTGCTTCGAAAAGCTGGAACAAGTGAAGCCAAAGCTTCTGGTGGGCAAGCTGCCCACTGGACCCTTCCAGTCAGTACAACGTGCTTTCGACATGACCAACAAGATTGGAGTCGAGACCAGACGCGGAAATTTGAGGAAGGCCCGATCTCAACTGGGGCTTTGCTTTGAGGCCTTCGAGGCACAGAAGGAAGCCGGAAACTACTTCCTCTATGAGTGCCCAAGGGGAACTAAGTCCTGGGAGCATGAACTTGCTCAAAGGATGGGTTCGCACTTGGTTGAAGGCCCAATGTGCAAGTGGAAAGTTGACGAAAGTGGAAAAATGATTGCAGGCCAATCCGGCAAGAAGCGAACCCGCTGGATTACTAATTCGGCGACGGTTGCAACAGCGCTGGAAAAGCTATGCAAGGGCAATGCGAAGGTGTGGAACCGAACGCTAAGCTTCAAGGAGGGGATCGTGACGGCCAAGGCCGAGTATCCTCCGAAGCTTGAAAGAGCACTACTGGCAGGAGTGCGAGCACAACTGGTTCTGGATGGAGAAATGAAGGAGGTGGGCCATGTGGGTGGACCTGACCCACACGAGGAGCCACCGCTCGAAGAGTATCTCCATGACACCTTACCCAAGGCAGGGCAGCTTCACGTAAGCGAGCCCGTCATAGACGCAAACACAGGGGCACAACTTGATGCCAGAAAGGTTGCGGAAGCAAGAGCGTCAGAACTTGCCTGGGTGAAAAAGCAAGGTGTGTACGAGAAAGTCGAAGAGAGCGTGTGTTGGGACGAAACAGGTCGTCCGCCCATAACCTTGAAGTGGGTAGACCGTAACAAAGGGGATGACGTTCGGGAAAACTACCGCAGTCGTTTGGTAGTCCGCGAGGTCAAGTCACAGGGACAAGCGGCGTTGATACCAGACTACGCGCTGTTTTCCTCAATGCCACCTCTGGAAGGATTGAAGATCCTATGCAGTCTGCTGACGACACTCAAGAGGTCAAAGAGCGGAAAGAAGCTCACGCTGAAGCTGACAGACATATCACGTGCACACTTCTATGGAAAAGCAGAACGACGTGTGTTTGTCACACTTCCCGAGGGAGATGAAGCTCCCGGCTTTTGTGGTCTGTTGAAACGGACCATGTATGGCACCCGTGATGCCTCAGCTGTATGGCAGAGATCGTACACAAGCCTGTTACGCAAGCACGGGTTTGTCGTGGGAAAAGCATATCCGTGTACCTTTTATCATGCCGAAGCCGACGTGAGATTATATTGGTGCATGGGGATGATTTCCTAGTCTTGGCAGACGAAGATGGACATCGCTTTGTAGACAAAGTACTATCTGAAGAGTACGAGTTCAAGTGTGATGGCCACATAGGACCTGAGTGTGAAAAGGATAGCATGACTGTCCTGAACCGGGTCGTGAGCTATGACAGCCAGACAGGAACTGTTACGTACGAAGCGGATCCAAGGCACGCGGAAGCCCTAGTGCGCGACCTTGGACTGGAGTCTGCGAAGGCGGCCAAAACGCCAGCAGAAAAGAAAAAGGGAAGTGACCTGAAGGCGATGCTTGAAGCGCAGCCGTTGAATGCCGAACTTCAGAAAGCATATCGGTCTCATACGATGAGGGCAGCGTTCCTTGCGCAGGACCGTCCAGACATTGCCGAGGCTACGAAGAGCTTAGCACGGCACATGAAAGAACCCACAGAGTGGGCATGGGCCGATCTGAAGAGGCTTGTCCGCTACTTACGCGGAAATCCACGGCTGATCTACGAGTACCACCCGCAACGGTTCAGCAAAGAGATTGTGATGTACTGCGACTCAGACCACGCTGGTTGCCTCATCACGCGGAGGTCAACCACGGGACTGGTGACAATGCTTGGATCGCACTGCGTGAAACACTCAAGCAACGTGCAAAGCACGATCTCCCTCTCGAGTGGAGAGAGCGAGTTTTACGCTATAGTTCGAGCAGGGTCAATAGGTCTGTCGCTACAGGCGATGCTAGAAGACTGGGGATTAAAGGTCGGTCTGCGGATTCGATCTGATTCCTCGGCGGCCCGAGGCACTACTCAGCGCCAGGGCCTCAAGCACGCCACGTGCAAACAAGATACTTGTGGGTGCAAGAGAAAGTCGCCACGCGAGCTCTGGAGCTAGAGCGTGTAGGCACGGAGAAGAACTACTCCGACATCTGCACCAAACCAATGCCCGAAGTGGCAATGCTCAAACACCTCAAGAACATGGGATTGCGTTTTCATGTTGGACGAGCCGGAGCAGCCAAACGGCTCGTGTAAAGCCAATGGGTCAAATGACCACCTGGCTTAGGAGGGGTGTTTAGATTTGTAGGTGTCACACAACATGTTTCACAATGAGTGAGCATACACATGCGACATTGGCTCAAGCCGTCAAAAGTGACTGCACCTGCAGTGTTAGTTCTGCCTTAAACTCCGTTCAATATGTGTGTGTATAGTTTGCTATTGCTGTTTTAGAGAATGGGGTGTTCATAGGGTTTACAGTCCTGCTTCTATATCATTATTTAGGGTTTGGGGCATATAGGGTTTACAGTTGTTTGTTTAGGAATTCATAGTGTTTGTTCTTGGCGGTTCAGGGTTTGGGGTTTATAGGGTTTGTATTGGATTTAATTCGGGTTTATTAAGGGACGACAGGAGTTGATCAATCGCTTGGTTCTTCGGTGGGGTATAAGCGGTGTATATATATATATAGAGAGAGAGAGAGAGAGGGAGAGAGAGAGGTGTTGAATAAACCCTAAACCCTATGCATCTAGGTGTATCTAGGAGTTTTGAATGTCCCTGAACCCGAAACCCTAAACCCTAATTGCGCCCTGAACCCAATTGCGCCCTGAACCCTGAACCCTCGACCCAGGGTTGTTTTGTCTAGACTTTCGGGGCGCCCCCCGGCCTTGTTTGTATAGCCGCTTTGACTTTCATTGACTTTCATTATAGGGTTCTTAAGGGGGGGGGGTCAAGGGGGGTATGTAGCCCAAGGTTCCGTAAAACTCCCCACTACTCCCTAAGGCTCCCTAAGCTTCCCGAAGGCTCCTAGGTACCTGCTCCCGTATGAATCCCCAAACCCTAAACCCTGAACCCTAAACCCGAAACCCTAAACCCTAAACCCGAAACCTCAAACCCTAAACCCTAAACCCTAAACCCTGAACCCTAAACCAGAAACAGTCTACCTTTCTTCTGCGGAGGTCGGCCGTTTGCCGGAAGAACACCTTCTGGTGCTACGTGTGCGGCCTGGCACTCGGGAGTTGGCAGAGTTTAGGGTTTAGGGTTTAGGGTTTAGGGTTTAGGGTTTAGGGTTTAGGGTGTGGGGTTAAGGGTATAGGGTTTAGGGTTTGGGTTTTGGGGCTTCTCTCAGGGCAGTTGCATTGTCCCTGAATATGGGCCGGTCATTGGGCAACAAAGACTACCCCTTATATGTCCCTGGGGGTTCGGGTTGCCCTAAGACCTCAGAAATCCGACGCTTCATCAACCCCTAAACCCTAAACCCTAAACCCTAAACCCTAAACCCTAAACCCTAAACCCTAAACCCTAAACCCTAAACCCTAAACCCTAAACCCTAAACCCTAAACCCTAAACCTTTAACCTTTAAACCCTAAACCTTTAAACCCTAAACCCTAAACCCTAAAGCCTAAGCCCGGGCTTTGTGTTTGGTGGGTGGAGGGTCTACCGAGTTGGTGGGTGAGGGGGGAGGGGAGGTTAGGGTTAAGGGATGATAGGGTTTAGGGTTTAGGGTTTAGGGTTTAGGGTTTAGGGTTTAGGGTTTAGGGTTTAGGGTTTAGGGTTTAGGGTTAGGGTTTAGGGTTTAGGGTTTAGGGTATTTAGGGCTTGAGGTGAGGGGAGTGTCAGGCTTTGGTCTGCGTGTTGAGATGCAGCCTGAGGCAAAGAGCTACCCAAAGCGGAGCATTATGCGCACTATCCAAGGCAGGGTTTAGGGTTTAGGGTTTAGGGTTTAGGGTTTAGGGTTTAGGGTTTAGTTTTTAGGGTTTAGGGGCGGGGTGCTGCAAGGGCAAGAGCCCCAAAACCTTAGGCCCCAAACCCCTTAGACGCTGTAAGGCCCAAGTATAAAACCTACAAGCCCTAAACCCTAAACCCTCCGGGTTGCTGCACATGACGGCACTTCTGTAGTGTGGAGCACAGGCACCGGGTTTTCTCCCAAACGTGGTTTAAGTTTGCGCCCAGTGTAAAAACTGAATGAATGAACCCGAAACCCTTAATTTTCAAGCCTGAACCCTGAACCTTGAACCCCAAACCCTAAACCCCGAACCTTAAACCCTCCCTGCAACCCCTTCAAACCACACGCCTACACTCCAAGCCCCCTAGGGCATAGCCACCTGGGTGCAGGGCTTGTTTAGGGTTTAGGGTTTAGGGCCTCTATATCCCCTTTCAAGGCACTGGACATTCACCTGACCTGTCCTGGCCGGATTGAGGGTACTGAAGGGTCTATCCTCCCAGAACAGCAGGGTTTAGGGTTTACGGTTTAAGGGTTTAGGGTTTTAGGGCTTAGGGTTTTAGGGGTTAGGAAGTTGGCATGTCAAGAACTATCTCAGGCAATCTACCAGGCTCTCTCATCGGAGGGACTTATAAAGACAGTATAGGGTTCAGGGTTTAGGGTTTAGGGTTTAGGGTTTAGGGCTTAGGGCTTAGGGCTTAGGGTTTAGGGCTTAGGGTTTAGGGCTTAGGGTTTAGGGTTTAGGGTTTAGGGTTTAGGGTTTAGGGTTTAGGGTTTAGGGTTTAGGGTAGCTTAGGATGTCTAGTGCTGTACTCTTTCTGTTTTTGGAAATTCTACATCTTGGGTCTTATATGGTGGCCAAATGAGTACTATACTCTCCTACATATGTCTGACTCCGGCAGTCTTGCTTTACCAGTACGAAGTTCTGGAGATTTGTGCAGAGAAACCCGTCAAGTTCCCGAAGTTGCGGGGTGCCATATTGGGGTGAACCCTAAACCCTAAACCCTAAACCCTAAACCCCAAACCCTAAACCCTAAGCCCTAAGCCCTAAGCCCTAAGCCTGAAGCCTTGCTGGCTTCATCAATTCTCGAACGGCTTTTGAATGTGCCCGCAGCTGATTGCGAGTAGGAGCAGTGAGGGCAAAACTTAGGCTCGTTCCGATGTCCAGACTACGAAGGAGCCGAATGCCCTTGCCTGCAGCTGTGGGTTTTGTCTTCATCGGGGCATGGACATGCGCTTTCGTCCCTCCACTGGAGAGCAGCATTGCCAAGTCCAGGGTGGCGGTGCCACTGCTTGCGGCAGTGGCTGCGCCGCCAACGCTGCTTCGCCCGAGGCGGCTGCGGCAGCGCAACAGCAAGTGGAGTCCGGCGACGGCGTCAAACTCTTCATCTTCTTTCTTTCGGCGTGTGTGGCCTTTGTTCCGGACCTGCTCAACTCATACGCCAACAATACTAGGCAAGATGTCAACTTTGCTGAGCAGCGCCCCGAAGATATCAAGCAGGAGCTGAGGGAAGTGAAGGCAGCCGTCGGCAGACTGTCATCAAAACTCGATGCCCTTGGTTTGCTGCTTGGTTTCGTGGCGACTCTGGTGGTCTGTTTCGGGCGTTGATGTGTTGAGGTTAGACCGGCCCGGCCCTTACCAGAATGTGCCAGTAGACCATAAAAAGTAGAAAAAAGCACAGACCTGCCGGATGCCGCGATTGAAAATGCTCGAAGAGTTGCATGTTAGAGTAAGCCCTTATTCCCTTTTTTAGGGTTTGGGCCCCCTTCTAATCCCCTAAAAAAACCAAACAGGGCACCCTTGTCATTCCTAAGCTACTCCTAAACCCTAAACCCTAAACCCTAAACCCTATGGGTGTTAAGTTACTCTTGGGTCCTAGACCATATAACCTGAAGAGCAGCTGGCCTCTTCAACATGATTCTTTGGTATTGCTTAGTACTTATTACTAGTACTATTCCTGTCACTAATTTAGGGTTTAGGGTTTAGGGTTTAGGGTTTAGGGCTACTATTACTAGTACTATTGCTATTACTATTGCGATTACTATTCCTATTGCGATGGTTACGATTGTTTCCATTGGTTACGACTACTACACTCTTGCTATTGTTACTACCATTACGATGCTTAGGAAAGTTCGTGTCATTATTGCTACTGATTTTACGGTTACTAGTACTTCTGTTGTTAGCAACTACTGCTTTTAACTGCATTTACGGTTAGTTAATTTCATTGCTGCGATCTTTGTTATTGCTATTGTTGCTTTGGGTGCGCGAGAATTTGCGGGATAGGTTGGTCGGCGTCCGAGCTGGCAATTATTGAGATTTAGGATTGGGGTCGAGGTGTTTTGGGAATTCAGGGAGGAAGTTTGGTACCTCAGAAGCCCACGAAGACTCGTACGCCCTATATCCGAAGCCTTATGGCCCTGTAGGGCCCCCCCCCCCCCCCTAGAGCTCCAAAACACATCAAGCATCGAGAAAGCTCTAGAAAACCTTGATAGACTGCGAGAAAGCAACACAGATTACTTCAAACCCTGATCCCTGAAACCTCGGAATGCTCTAAACCCTAACCCCTAACCCCTAAACCCAAAACCCTGAACCCTGAACCCATGAACCCATGAACCCTGAACCCTGAAGCAAGCTTCGGAAGCCGAACCCTGATCCCTAGATGGCTCTAAGCCCCGTTTACGAAACAGGTTCTCGGGGTAGTTTCGGGTTTAGGGTTCGGGGTTGTAGGGTCTAGGATTCAGGGCTTCTTCGCCCTAAACCCCAAACTTTGAAACCCCCAACACCCTAAACGAACCCTAAACCCTAAACCCTAAACCCTAAGTCTCAACTGGCCGCTCGAAGCCTTCGGCTCAAGCTCGAGGTTCCTTAGCCTGGGAATGTGGTCGTCTGGGTTGGCATACTGGGTAGGCCTTGGGATATCTTTTAGGGTTTAGGGTTTAGGGTTTAAAGGTTTAGGGTTTAGGGTTTAGGGTTTGCTGGCTAGGGCCTTTGGGATATGCGCCAGATTTTCCCGTGTTGGGCTTAAGAGGATCATATCTGGGAGCATCTCTCAGAGGGTTTTAAGGGCCATCGAGTTTAGGTGGCTTAGCTTAGGGCTTCTCTGTTCGAAGATCTGGGGCTTCTTGCACTCTTGGGGTTGAGGATGTCGGGCATAAGGTGTAAACCCTAAACCCTAAACCCTAAACCCTAAACCCTAAACCCTAAATCCTAAACCCTAAACCCTAAACCCTAAACCTTAAGTGTTGGCTAAGAGTTTTCGGACTTAGGGCTCAAGGTTTTGTTCTGCGCCCTGGAGACCTTGAGCCCCTTGGCCTCAAGAAAGTAAACCCTACACCCTTGGTTTAGGGTTTAGGGTTTAGGGTTTAGGGTTTAGGGTTTAGGGTTTAGGGTTTAGGGGGCCACCCTTTTGCACAGCTTTGGCTTACCCCTACATGGAGCCCTGTAGCGAATGAGCCACAGCTACTCCAATCAGCCTTTCAACCTGAAGTAACTCATACCGCAATTTGCACGCGCACCGCCCACAGTAGTTGGCATTCATTTGCGACGGCTGGGCGCCCACAGGCCACTGAAGCGATGAGCGTGAGTCCCTCCATAAACCGTTGAAGTTGCCCTAAACCCTAAACCCTACACCCTAAATCTTTATCCTTTAACCCTTGAGCCCTCGTTCAAGACCCAGAAGCCTGAGAACCGGAATCCCTACAGCCATGAATCCTACAGCCCAGCCTTGTCACCCCACATACCACGGCTCCCTGAAACAAAACTTACCTTCATTTCGGGTCCTTCGGGAAGCCCTAAACCCTGAACCCTAAACCCGGGCCTCTTTAGCGCCTGTCCTAAAGGGAGGGAGGACGAAGGTTCAGCGTGTGGTTTAGGGTTTAGGGTTTAGGGTTTAGGGTTTAGGGTTTAGGGTTTAGGGTTTAGGGTTTAGGGTTTAGGGTTTAGTGAAGAAGGGGCCCGGTGACGATACTCTCCATATCTAGGGGACGTATCGTTTTGCCTCAGACCCAGTACTTGTGACCGATTCCAGGGCCCTATTACTCTGCTTATTACTAGGGCGGTAGCCGGAAGGCCATAAACCCCGGTTTTTAGGGTTGGTCACGTTTAAGCCTGCGAAACCAAACAAGAGCACCTTCCCTAAGGATCCATGGACCTTTTATGGTTTTTACTTGGGCCTGAAGCTACTCCATAGGAACCATCTTCAAGGCCCAAGTATATATCATGGGCTTCCCGACTACCCCCTCTCTTCTACCCCCCCCCCCCCCCTAGGTTTCTCATAAGCATAATTTAGGCGTTATCCCTAAATAGCCTTAATTATTCGGGTAACCCTGGGGCGGTTGGGGGGGGGGGGGGTGTAGAAAAGAGGGGGTTAGTAGGGGAAGCCCGTGAATATACTGTATATGCACCTGGAACCTTTGTTTTTCTCAAGGGTCTAGGGTTTAGGGTTTAGGGCCACTGGGGGCAGCCGAGGAGTCCATTTCTTCGGGTTTCGAAATCCCTGGCAGGGATGCGAAGTCAAGGAACGTGTGGGGCACCTCTGCTCTCTTTCCGGTTTAGGGTTTAGGGTTTAGGGTTCAGGGTTTAGGGTTTAGGGAAGGTCACTCGAATCACCAGAAGCGCCAGGATTTTTCATGTTCCCACTCAAACACTCTGAGCCTGAAATGCTCGCCTGATCGATTCTTGGTGTTTCAAGTTGGGGGACCTAAACACCGCAGTTGGGGTTCAAGGCTTAGGGTTACTTAAAACCCTAAACCCTAAACCCTAACTAAACCCAAAACCCGATTTTTTGATGGATGCCTCTGGAGAGGTGGCATTTGGCAAGCATGCCTTGCGCGCAGAATAACAACTTGTCCGGGCCCTCGTGGGGCTGCTGTGGGATTGCATGGCGTCTAGGGTTCAGGGTTCAGGGTTCAGGGTTCAGGGTTTAGGGTTTAGGGTTTAGGGTTTAGGGTTTAGGGTTTAGGGTTTAGGGTTTAGGGTTTAGGGTTTAGGGTTTAGGGTTTGGGTTTAGGGTTCCTCATTGGGTATAGGGTCGCCATGTCTTAGAGGCGGCATGCGGGTGTGGGGGGGGGGATTAGGGTTCGAGTTTAGAGTTCAGGTTTTAGGGTTTAGGGTTTAGGGTTTAGGGTTCAGAGCATCCAAAAATAGGTGAGCTGTTTTGTCCCCCGCTTCTAATTCTTAACATCCCTTCCTGGGCAGAGAGGGTGTATTTAGGTTCGTCGGGTTTATCCAAGGAACTGACCAGTATCCCTAAACCCTAAACCCTAAACCCTAAACCCTAAACCCTAAGAAAACTGTGGCCAAGGGAAATTCCAGGGCCCCTGTCCTTGCAGGAGGCCAGTAGGCGCATGTGGGGACATGGAACACTAAACCCCCAATTCCTTGAATTCCTAAACCCTAAACCCTAAACCCTAAACCCTAAACCCCAAACCCTAAGCCTTCAACCCTAAATCCAGTCCTCAGCATGCAAGGATCGCTTCCTTTCTGGCCTTCTGCCTGAGCGGTGACCCCAGTTCCGATGCGGAGTCCTTTTCTCAAAGTCCCAGACCCTCAGCCCTAAACCCTAAACCCTAAACTCTGGACACTCAAACCTGCTTGGTAGTTAAGTGCCCTAGAGGGTCAATTGTACTATAGGGGCCTTAGTAACTAGAATAGGGTTTTGGGGCTTATTGTAGTCTGATTATCAAGGGGCCATAGGGGAATGCTCTTAGTACTTCTTCCGGCCACAAGGCTTAGGGCTTGGGGTTTAGGGTTTGGGGTTTAGGGTTTAGGGTTTAGGGTTTAGGGTTTAGGGGTTTAGGGTTTAGGGTCTTAAGTAGGTCCCACATAGCATGGGGGCCCAAGTCCATACCTTTTGTGGGCCCTTCGGGACAGGGTTTAGGGTTTAGGGTCTAGGGTCTAGGGTCTAGGGTTTAGGGTTTAGTAGGGTTTAGGGTTTAGGGTTTAGGGTCTAGGGTCTAGGGTCTAGAGTTTAGGGTTTAGGGTTTAGGGTCTAGGGTTTAGGGTTCAGGGTTTAGGGTTTAGAGTCAACTTCAGAGCTTCAGTTGCTGCAAAGGCGCTTCCGTTTCTTTGACTCGGGGCTTGAAAAGAGTCTTTGCTGGGGTGCTGACTGGGTCATTGTTGAACATCATGTTACAAATTTACTAGGACCGGAACCCCTTAAAACCAAAAACGGTGCCCTTCTTATTCCTAGGCTACTCCCGGGTCTAGTTTATGAATTCTAAAACCCAATAAGGAACAAACATGATCATTGTGAATGAACCCCAACAATGGTGCAGTTGAGAAGAGGGTTTGGGGTCTAAGGGCTTCAGGGTTTGGGGTGTAGAGGAGGGAGTTGCTTGTGGGAGTCATTCTTCAAGTTTGCGAACATCTTCCTGGGATTCACCTAGATCGGGCAGCCTGCCCTGGCATGGTTGTTTGGGTTGCGATTCACCCTCCCAGCTACACCCAAATTACCCAATATTATGGTTCGTGTAGCACTCTACAGGCCACTACTACGCATGCGCATTATCTAGGAATTCCCTGGCAAGTACCTGAACGCAAACAGACCGTAGCGCTGTTTCCTGATGCATTCAGGGAAGTACCCTAAACCCTAAACCCTAAACCCTAAACCCTAAACCCCAAACCCTAAACCCTAAACCATCATGGCATGTCATGGAAGCCCGAAGGGCCCATGTACCCAGACAGCCCACAATTGGGCTAGGGCTTCCCATGGGGCAGCCGCCGGGGCCCAAGTATGTACCTAGGTAGGTGCCTGGTTTAGGGTTTAGGGTTTAGGGTTTAGGGTTTAGGGTTTAGGGTTTAGGGTTTAGCGTTTAGACTCGTTGGGTTTAAGAGGATCATGTTCAGGAATATGTTTCAAAGGGTTTTTAAAGGGCCATCCTGATACTTTGTAGGTACTTGGAGGTTCATTGGTACTTAAAACCACGACTATAAGTCTACTTGTAACCTACTTAGAGGACTTAGGGGCTTATACGTACCTCCAAGTAGATGAACCCTTTGGGAAAGCCCAGGTCTTGGCGCTGTGGCTATAGCCGCCTTTGAGATCAGCAAGGTCGAACAGGCATTCCGCTCGGGGGTTTGTAGCGTTCGACAGCTTCAACCCCAAACCCGTACCACGCCTGAACCCTACTAAGCCCCTAAACTGGGACCAAAAAATCCCTAAGGCCCTAGGGGCTTGAGGTTTGAGGTGTCGGTGTAGGGTTTAGAGTTTAGGGCTAAGGTTTAGGGTATAATAGGGTTCCGGATCTACGTGTTAGAGTTTAGGGTTTACAGGGTTGTAGGTTTGGAGGGTGTAGGGTTTCGGCTTTATGTTTCTCGGCTCGGGGTTTGCCTTGGTTTTGTTAATGAGGGGGGGGTTTAGGGTTTAGGCTTTAGGGTTTAGGGGCTAGGGGGAGTTTCATGGGCCCATAATATGGTCCCTTGCCTCCTTTAAAGCGTTCTGATATATGGGAAGGGGCATGTAAGGGCTACCCTTTTAAGGGCCCATACTAAGGGACCATGTATAAAACCCTAACCCTAAACCGTAAACCCTAAACCCTAAACCCTAAACGGTTTAGGGTTTAGGGTTTAGGGTTTAAGGCATTGGGTGGAAGACGAACATGTTTAGGAAGGTTTCGTCAGACGGAATTTACGGGCCATCCTAGCCAACATGTTTGAGGCCCATCTCTGAGTAAAGCCACATATTTGGAGCGATGGCGAACCCTGTATACTTAGACCACAACAAGAAGCATACCCAGGTTCTGTAGGTGTAATTCCGTTCCCTAAACCCTAAACCCTAAACCCTAAACCCTAAACCCTAAACCCTAAACCCTAAACCCTAAACCCTAAACCCTAAACCCTAAACCCCCCGAACCTCGAAGGCCTTTCAGTCCATGGGACGCGGGTCCCCACTGCGCGATGCGTCCACCCGGACGGTGCTTGCGGCCGCAGAGGGGTTTAGGGTTTAGGGTTTAGGGTTTAAGGTTTAAGGGTTTCGGGTTTAGGGTTTAGGGGGGTTAAGGGTTTAGGGTTTAGTTGAGGGGTTTTAAACCACTCCCCTAAATTGGGGGGTTAGGGTTTAGGGGTTTAGGGGTTTAGGGTTTAGGGGGTTTAGGGGTTTGGGGGTTTAGGGGTTTAAGGGTTTAGGCTTTAGGCCTTAGGGTTTAGGGTTGGATGTGGGCGTAGAGTGTCAACACATGGAAGCAACTGCGTGCCAGGCACATGAAAGCAACTGCGTGCCAGGTTTGCCTACTCCAAGGTATGCAAGCCTGAACCCCGAAAGCCCTAAATCCGAAACCCTAAGCCCTAAACCCTAAACCCTAAACCCTAAACCCTAAAACCCTGAACCCCAAAACCCTGAAACCCTAAACCCTTTTCAGGGGTCCGCTTGGCCCCAGCTGTCGCTGTCTCGAGTTGAGTTTTTGCAGGGGTTCGCGTGAAGCGAAGTCTTCAACCATTCAAGGGAGTCCTACTCGGACCCCTGAAAAGGGTTTAGGGCTTTAGGGTTTTAGGGGGTTTAGGGTTTTAGGGTTTAGGGTTTTGCGGTTTAGGGTTTTAGGGTTGTAGGGTTTAGGGCTTAGGGTTTCAGGGGAGGCATTCTCGGACCCCTATCGATGTTCCCTTAAGACTGCGCTTCTAAGTTTTCGGGTTAGGGTTTAGCTCTTCTAAATTTCCGGTTAAGGCTTTACAGGGTTTAGGGTTTAGGGTTTAGGGTTTCAGGGTAGACTTGAACTCTCCCTGGAAGCTGGACAAGTAAAGCACACCCCGCTGCGGAAACCGGAGTGCACACCGAGCCCAAGCTGATGCCAGCACGTGAACGCCCGTGTGCTACCCTGAACCCTAAACCGTGAACCCTAAACCCTGAACCCTGAACCCTGATAACCCTAAACCTAAGCCCTAAACCCGAAACAGTGAACCCCTAACCCTAAACCCTGAACCCTGAGAACCCTAAACCTTAACCCTGATAACCCTTAGGGATCAGGTTAAGGGTCTATAGAGTTTGACTCCAAGTATTAGCATGGTTAAACAACAATCCGTAGCTACATCCTGCGGACCCTAAGCTCTCAGGGACCCAAACCCTAAACCCCCAAAACTCCAAACCCTTAATTCCCAAAAGTGCTTAGTCCCGAATGCCTTAATGCCTAAGCCCCGAAACACCCAAAATTCCCGAACTCTAAAGCTTTGACAGCACTTAACACCCTTAGCTCTTTTCAACCAAAGAGCAGTCCTCTTGGTTCAAGGGGTTCGGGGTTTAGGGTTTAGGGTTTAAAGTTACATAGGCTGAGCTTCTCGGAGCACGACCTTATTAGAACTTAGTAACCCTTGACAGGTATACCAGTTGTGTTTCAGCCTCTTCGTGAATGCTGTCGGCTTCTTCAACATCTGCGCGCGCCTGAGGATCTCGTGATCGTTCAGGGTTTTAAGGTTTAGGTTTAGGGTTAAGGTTTAGCGTTTAGGGTTTAGCTTTTAGGGTTGTTTTACGTCTTCTAGGGGCTTCAACATACAATGGATAATAAGCCCTAAACCCTAAGCACTAACCGTTTTAGGGCTTCTTAGGGATCTCAATCCCAAACCCTAAGCCCCAAACCCCCAATCCCTAAACCCTAAACCCCAAACCCCAAACCCTAAACCAAACATCCTACGCCCCTGGACTCCCAAAGGTACCCATGGCCTACAACCCAACAAGGGCATGTCGGGGATTGGTTTTAGGGTTGAGGGTTTCGGGTTTAGGGTCTGGGGTTTAGGGTTTAGGGTTTGGGGTTTAGGGTTTCGGGTTTAGGGTTTAGGGTTTGGGGTTTAGGGTTTGGGGTTTAGGGTTTAGGGTTTGGGGTTTAGGGTTTGGGGTTTAGGGTTTAGGGTTTAGGGTTTCGGGTTTAGCTAGGGTTTAGGGGTGTTTATGCCTTCGGTTTGTTCGTGGCCATCCTCGTGTGCACGAGTTGGCTCATCCCGGTTGCCTCGTCCCACCTTCAGAAGCAGGCATTTGTGGCTTGCCCTCTTTCGGAGCAGTTAGGTGCTAGGTTTCGCACCGCCCTCAGAAGTAGGAGCCGTACGACACAACACACAACTCTTGTCCTGCTATCCACCAGGCACACAACTTAGGGAGGTTTAGGGTTTCGGGTTTAGGGTTTAGGGTTTCCGGACTTAGGGATGTGTATAGGGTTTCAAGTTTAAAGCCCTTAACACACGGATGCTCTGCTGGCTCCAGTTGCTGGACTGTTGCTAGCTAAAAGTCTTAGACACCCGAAACAGCCCCCTAAAATTAGGGGTTCAGGGTTTTGGGGTTCAGGGTTTAGGGTTTAGGGTTTAGGTCTCAGGGTTTAGGGTGGCTTACCCTACAGATCCTGAACCCAACATACGGCTGCGGATCTCTTTAGGGTTTCGACTGTTTTAGGGTTTTGGGGTTTGCCCTCACCCGGCTCCCACACCTTATAAATAGGCTAAACCCTAAACCCTAAACCCTAAACCCTAAACCCTAAACCCCAAACCCCAAACCCCAAACCTAAACCCTAAACCCTAAACCCTAACCCCTAACCCTAAACCCTAAACCCCAAACCCCAAACCCCAAACCCTAAACCCTAAACCCTAAATATGGGGGGTGTTTGATCTCCGAAAGACGCTGAGGCGTCCATGCAGCCGCGATGCTCTCAAGCGTTTGCCCCCGCGCCATGGTTAGGTGCATGCATGGAAGCCCCGGGCCCAAAGTCTGCTTTCTACAGTGAGGGCTTAGGGTTTAGGGTTTAGGGTTTAGGGTTTAGGGTTTAGAAATCAACACCCAGCGTGGTTGGGCTTTCTCAGAAGCCTACAAGGGCTGTCTGGTAACAAACCACAAAACATGATGGTTTGGGAGGCAGCTTAGCTCTCAGCACTAAGCCGACAATCCTGTAAGCCCGGGCTCCTTCAAACTAAAATTCCAAAACCCTCCAAATCACAAAACCCCAGACCCCTATAAACTCAACCCCATGAACACTCGAAAGCCTTCTACGCCCTAGACAGTTCTATGTTTAATATCAAAACCCTACGAAGCCACGGACGCCCTCATGGCCGTTTGCCTGGAGGTGGCACTGATAAGTGGCAAGAGGGCCAAGGTGGAGGCTGAGCCGAGCTGGCTCCTGGAGAGGGTATCGAGTTCGCAATTTTGGGTTTAGGGTTTAGATCATTTTTTGGTGTCGTTTTTCTGAGGGTAGTTAATCTGGTCCCTAAGAGGTATATCAGGGGTCCCTTTTTCAGGGCCCATGCTAAGGGGGCCATGAAACTGCCCTCAGAGTTTTGGTAGGTTCAGCAGGCTTGCTTGCAAGGTGTATGGAGTCCCTTCCAAGCCTGGGAACAGAGATTGTGAGCAGGGTGCAGGCACCTCACCTCTTTCATCCTGGCTTGTTTCTGTGCGCATGCTGCGTGTACTGTTGGCCCTAAACCCTGAACCCTTAAGCCTAAGCCCGAAACCCTAAACCCTAAAAGCCCCTAAACCCTTCATCCTAAACCCCTAAACCCTACCCAAGTAATTTTTAAGAAGCACCAACGGATTTCACGCCCCCGTGTACACAGCCAGCTCACAGCACATGCTGCAACGAGCGCCGAAAACCCTATTACAGTCGGGTTTGCAGGGTTTCGGGTTCAGGGTAGCCCTAAACCCTAAACTCTAAACCCTAAACCCTAAACCCTAAATCCTTCATAAACCCCATTAGGGTATTCCTTCAAAAGCTCTAAGCCCATAAAGCCATGACCGGAGAAGCTCAGGTGAGAAATCAGGCTCGCTGCACCCTGGGCTGCGGCTCCGGCGTCTTGCTGGGACCTTCCGGAGCCCTGGCGTGCTTTTTTATTGGTGTTTTTTATTTTTTTTAAACCCTAAACCCTAAACCCTAAACCCTAAAGGCCCCAAAGCCCAGGAGACTTCTTGGCAAAAACTGCCAGCGTAGCCGACGCCGGCTTGCGAACCGGGGATGTCCTGACCCTCCACATTGGGGAGGTGGAGTTGCAGCTGAGAGCACGTTCCAAAAGATAGAGTTTGGGGGTTTAGGGTTTAGGGTTGAGGGTTGAGGGTTTAGGGTTTAGGGTTTAGGGTTTAGAGTTTAGGGCTAGGGTTTAGGGTCTTAAACTTGAGGGGCTTGGGGTTAACTAGGGTCTTCAGGGTCCTGCATCTTAAACTAGATCATTGCTTCGAGAATGGGCCAGCTGACGTTGTGCTCAGAAGAGTGGCTCCCTACACCCTAAAAAACCCTAAACCCTAAACCCTAAACCCTAAACCCTAAACCCTAAACCCTACCCCTAAACCCTGAACCCTAAACCCTATTAGAAGCTCATGTTTCAAGTGGGGTTCAGGTGCGGGTCGCCGCGACTCAGCGGGCGTTTGCCGCCCTCCTGGCCGACGGCTCCGTCGCAACCTGGGGTGACCCGAAGCTCGGTGCTGACCTTAGGGTTTAGGGTTTTACGGTTTAGGGTTTAGGGTTTAGGGTTTAGGGACCCAAGGCCGAGAAGATTTGGAACCAAGAGTTGCTTTAGGGTTTAGGATTTTTGGGTTTAGGGTTTTAGGGTTTGGCAGTTTGGGGGTTTACCTTACTTGGAGGTTCATGGTGCTTGGTAGCCCAATTAGAACTGTACTTCTAACACAATTATGACTCTGTTGGGAGCTTCTTAAGGGGCTTATAAGTGGGTTATAACTACGCTTATAATTGGGTTATAAGTACCTTGAACCTTCAAGTAGGAGCTGGGTAGTTAACGCTTAACCTTTTCGGTTTAGGGTTTAGGGTTTCGGTCTTAGGGTTTACAGTTTAGGGTTTAGGGTTGTATATATATATATATATATATTTATATTTATATATATATAATACGATTACAAAAAAGTGGCTAGCCTTTTGTTGGGCTATGGTATTCAGCCCCTAAAGAATAAGGTTTAAGGTTTAGGGCTTTTTAAGGATTTAGGGTGTAAGGATTTAGGGTTTCGGGTTTAGGGTTTCGGGTTTAGGGTTTTGGGGTTTGCAGTCCTGGGGGTTTAGGGTTTTAGGTTTTTTTTGTTTTTCGGTGTAGGGTTTTAGAGTTTAGGGTTTCAGGGTTTTAGGGTTTCGGGGTTTGAGGGTTTCAAGTTTTTAGGGTTTTAGGGTTTTGTTTTTCTAAGGCTTTTAGGGTTTTAGGGTTATAGGGTTTAGGGTCTAGTATACCTGTGTACATCAAGTTGAATTGGTGCCCTAAACCCTAAATTCTTAACACCTCAACCCCAAAGCCCCTAGTAACAGAAGGGTTATGGGGGGGTTCAGGATGAAGCACCTAAGCTGCTCACAGGGTTGCTGCGTTCCATTTGGAATAGGGTTTAGGGTTTAGGGTTTAGGGTTTAGGGTTTAGGGTTTAGGGCTTAGGGCTTAGGGCTTAGGGTTTAGGGTTTGCGGTACACACTAGGCGGACATCCGCTGCAACTGCTTGCGTGCTTCAGAAACTTTCCGGAAACGAATCCTTACAAACTCATGAACCGCATTGCGCAAGCAAGGGGCACGTTTCTGGGCGGCCTTGTTTAGCATTAGGGTTTAGGGTTCACGTTTTAGGGTTCGGTTTTATGGTTAAGGATTGGGGTTTAAGGTTTAGGGTTGAGGGCTCAGGGTTTAGAGCTAGGGTTTAGGATCCTGTCTTGGGGTTGAGGGTTTAGGGTTCAGGGTGCAGGGTTCAGGGTTTAGGGTTGAGGAGGGCTTAGGGCGCCAAGACCCAGGAATGGTGGTGGGGAGAGCGGTCACGTGCAGGCGCGCTTGCCACTCGGTCCTTGGATCCCCGGGGAATTGGGGTTTAGGGTTTAGGGTTAGGGTTTAGGGTTTAGGGTTTAGGGTTTAGGGTTTAGGGTTTAGGGTTTAGGGTTTTTTGGGTGTTTAAGGCGTGGCTTCCCCGATTCAAGGCCCACATTCAGACCTCCCCCCCACTCCCTTCCCCCCCCCCCCCTCCCCCTCCCCCTCCTCCTCCTCCCCCCCCAATTATGCCGACTTGCCCTTAAACAGTTTGCCCTCAAAAAACCTTAAGAAGTGAGGGGGAACCAAGAGGGCCGTCCCTCAAGTATGGGGTCAGGCCGCGCTTTTGAGGTTGCTGCATGAGCGGGAAAGCTTTCTTGGGCTCTGTTTCCCTTACACGGCTTAGCAGAGCCTAACCCTAAAAGCCTCAACGCTGCTAAACTCAGAAGCCCTAAACCCTAAACCCTAAACCCTAAACCCTAAACCCTAAACCCTAAACCCTAAACACTAAACCCTAAACCCTAAACCCTAAACCCCACCCTGGAAGCATCTCCAAGCCCAGGCAGAGGGTGAGGGAGATTCAGGCGAACGATGAGTCCTTCGCTGCTATCCTCCAGGATGGCTCCATGGCTAGGGTTTAGGGTTTAGGGTTTAGGGCTTAGGGTTTAGGATTTAGCATCCTGTTTAGGACCATTTCTTGGGGAGGGCTTAAAAGGCTCGTCCTGGCTGGTTTGTGGAATGAGGTTTCGTCTTTCTCGGACTTAACGTCTGCTTTTTTAGGGGTTTTAGGGTTTAGGGTTTAGGGTTTCGGTTTTTTGGGGTTTCGGGGTTTAAGGGTTTCGGGTTTCAAGGGATTTGGGGGGTACCCTAAGGTTGTACCCTTAAGAGCTTCCCCTTAATATGCTACCAATATGGCCCTTCTACTACCTTAAGGATCTTCAAAAAGGGTCCTCAAAACCCAAGGGTTCAACCTTGGGGGTCCAAGGTACAACGCCTAGAGTTTTGTGCTCTTGTAAAGGGACTTAGGTGATTAGGGTTTAGGGTTTAGGGTTTAGGGTTTAGGGTTTAGGGTTTAGAAGCGTGCGGCTTTCACTTACTATTGCAACCCTCGTGTGCCATTGTTCTTGGGGACCAATGAACCCTAAAAAGGGTTTCTGGCTCAGATTGCCAGGGATTATATTAGTATAGGGTATGTGACCCCAATTGGTCCCCGAGGGTAGCTTAAGTTCCTTACCCAAGTCTTGGCGTGTATTGGCTGCTGGTTCTTGCGATCCTACTCTGGTTCCATCAGGGTTTGCAGCGGGGGGTTATCAACCCCTATCGAAGTCCTCCAAGACGCTCCACCGTTTAGAGTTTAGCTAGGGTTTTGCTCCTAGAAACTCCAAACCCCCAACCCCAAACCCTAAACCCGAAACCCTAACCCGTGGTGCGCATGTTTTTTTGGCTTAGGTGTCCTTGGCGTATTGCCTTTGTTCATGGGGTTCTTCAGGGAGGATTTAGGGTTTAGGGTTTAGGGTTTAGGGTTTAGTTAGGGGGTAGGTACCTACGGAGCCTTAGGGAAGCTTCGGCAGCCTTAGGGAGTAGTGGGGAGTATTAGGGAGCCTTGGGTTACAACCCCCCCCCCCCCCCCCTGAACCTCTCTCCCATTAAGAACCCTATAGTTTTTTTTTCAAGCTTCCCTGCAGTTTCTACCGTGGCGCACCCTTTCCCTCCATTTCTGTTTCTGTGGAGCAAGCTCAGTTGAGCTCAGTTGAGGTTTCTTTGCATTTTGCTTTCCTGTTGAAGTTGTGCACGATTACAAGGGGCTTACAGTAGTAGCCTACAGGAAGCAAACCCTAAACCCTGAAGCCTAAACCCCTAAACCCTAAACCCTAAACTAGTAGGCCACAGGAAGTACAGTGGGCTTTGCGACTATTTTATCGAATGGATGCGCACCCTTCAGCTACGACTTCATTGAAGCTCCGAAGCCTTCCGAACCCTAAATCCTAAACCCTAAACCCTATAAACCCTAAACCCTATAAATCCTAAATCCTAAATCCTAAATCCCATTCCCAGGTAGGCCCTTGAGGGACATTTGCTATTTTCCCTTGTTGGGTTTAACAGGATCATGTTTAGGGTTTAGGGTTTAGGGTTTAGGGTTTAGGGTTTAGGGTTTAGGGCTTGAGGGGTAAGGCAAAGGGCGATCCTTGAATCTCAGGTTCCGTCGTAACTTGGGGGTGCGCGGACGGCGGTGACAGCGAGGCGGTGCAAGAGAGGCTTGCGCGGAAAGCTTTTTAGATTTGATTGGGATAGGGGGTTTAAGTTGTTTTCTTGGGGTTTCGGGCCAATAAGTCTCTTCAGGACTTGGAGTCTGTTTGGGTCTTGCGTCCAGCATCCCCTTCATAGATGCCATTTGCAAGAATTGGATTCCGTACAACACAGGTCCCCCCCTCCGACCCCTTCCCCCAAACAAAGGCCCAAAAATGGGGAACAACCTCCACTTACGTTGCTGGGCTTAGGGTTTAGGGTTTAGGGTTTAGGATTTAGGGTTTAGGGTTTAGGGTTTAGGGTCTACGGGGCAGAAATGCAGTCGGGAGGCTACGCGACGTGGCCGCCATCCAGGCAGCCGGATTTGCATTCGCTGCCCTCCTGAAAGATGGATCCGTCGTCACCTGGGGCGACCCCGCACCTACATCCGCACTGAGCCAGGGTTTAGGGTTTAGGGTTTTGGGTTTTGGGTTTAGGGTTTAGGGTTTAGGAGCCGATCTTTCTCTCGTGTTTTGTTAGTGCAATGGGAAAGTTGACCATAGCCGAGTTGACTGAACAACTGCGTAGGCGTAGTCAAAGAACCTGTCGATAGGTCAATGGCGGAGATTGCTCTGCAGTGCAGCGTGAGCTCGTCAATGTGCAGAAGATACATGCAACCAAGTATGCGTTTGCCGCGCTGTTAGAGGGCGGGCCAGTGGTGACTTGGGGCTCTCCCATTTTTGGCGGCGATTCTACCCCTGTGCAGATGCAGCTGGGTAGCAATGTGAAGGGGGTCATGGCAGCCGGATTTGCTTTTGCTGCGTTGCTCGATGACGGGTCTGTGGCAGCTTGGGGCGTGCCAGACACTGGTGGAGACACCAGTTCCGTTCAGGATGAGCTCGAGAACGTGCGGCAAATCCAAGCAACTGATGGAGCGTTTGCCGCCTTGCTTGAGCCTTGGGGGAACACTGACATGAACCCTGAAAGGGTTATTGGGCGGGACTACAGTATTATATTAGAGGGCTTGTATTGCCTTAAAACCCTAAACCCTAAACCGCCTAAACCCTAAACGCTAAACCCTATAGGCTACATGACCCCAATTTTGGGGATCCTAATCGGTGCCAAGGAGGATGGGGCTGTGGTGACCTGGGGCTCTCCAGAGCACGGCGGAGACAGCAGCTCCGTGCAACATCAACTCCAGGCGGTGCAACTTAGCAGTGGAGTAGGGTTTAGGGTTTAGGGTTTAGGGTTTAGGGTTTAGGGTTTAGGGTTTAGGGTTTAGGGTTTAGGGTTTAGGGTTGAAATTCTAGTCCCTATAGAATCCCACAGGTTAAGCCTTCAGCTTGCCCAGGATACTGGAACAACTCAGGCAAGCCATCCAGGCGAACGAAGGGGCTTTTGCAGCTCTGTGCAGCAACGGCGCCGTCGTCACTTGGGGAGTCCCAGCCTATGGTGGCTTAGTAGTAGAGTAGGTAACCTTTAACCTTTTTGGGTTAATATATTCCCCTTAAAATCCCAAAGGTTAACCTTTAAAACCCCTAGGTACTGGACAACTAAGGTGGGGACAGTGCGGCTGTGCAGGAGCAACTCATGCACCTTTGGGGCCGAAAAGACCCTTAAAGTCATCACACCCTATACTACTCTAAAATACCCATTAAGGTAACATGGAGCCATATAAACCCTATGCTACTATAATTCCTATTAAGGTAATATGGGCCACAAACCCTTTAAGGGCTCCAAGGCAGGCGCAGCAGCTGCAGTGCACGGAGTCCGCCTTCGCGGCTGTCTTGCGCGACGGGCGCGTCGTGACCTGGGGCCAGCCCGGAGCTGGCGGAGACAGCAGCGCCGTGCAGAAGCAGCTTGAGAACGTTCCCTTTTAAAGGGACCACATGAGCCCTAAAAGGGTTTAGGGTCCATGTTACAATTAGTAGGAATTATAGTACAGTGTAGAGTACTATGCCCCCCCCCCCCCCCAATATTTTTTAAGGTTGATCTCGTCCCCTGAAGGTTCAGTGCATCCAAGCATCCTACACCGCCTTCGCAGCCTTGCGTGCGGATGGCACGGTGGTGACCTGGGGTGACCCAGCTTGCGGTGGAGACAGCCGTGGTGTCCGGGAGCAGCTGACAAAGGTGAAACACATTGCCGGCAACCAGGGCGCTTTTGCTGCCATTCGCCTGGATGGCTCCATCGTGACGTGGGGCGAGGTGGACTCTGGCGGGGACAGCAGTGCAGTCAGAGATCAGCTGGCTTAGAAAGCTTGACAATGTCATTTCCAAACTGTCACAACATTTCGTGTAGTCATTTCGTGTCACCTGTGGGCAACGTACCACCTCTTTGTCTGACCGACGCAAGTCCGGCCGTACCCTAAACCCCAAACCCCAAACCCCAAACCCCAAACCCTAAACCCTAGAGGCGGGGTTTCGGGCTTGGGGCCTAGGGGTCTGGGAACCACAAACACCATGATACAAGGGGTTTTTGGGCCCTGAAACCATGAATTCAGGGTTTAGAATTGGGGTAATTACATTTGGGGAAAATCTAGGGTATTCGGACTATTCAGACCTTCTGGGAAACCGAGGGTGGGTACCGGCGAACAACGAAAAACTACCGGCGGACAACGAAAGATATCTCATAACAACGAAAGATAACAACGTAAACGGCCCGCCAGCATCGATCCAGGTCCGGCGGCAACCATCCCCTTCCGGCGAGCAACGAAAAACCCTTCTGCCGAGCATCGAACGCCTGCCGCCCAGCATCGAAAAACCCTCCGCCGAGCATCGAAAAACCTTTTGGCCAAGCATCTCAAACTCTGTAACCTTTGCAGGAAGACCACCATCGATACTTTTTAAAAGCCGTGCAAGCTTGCTTCAAATCAGATGATTTTTGTTTACCCATCATGCGATCATGGTGTTTGCAAATGGGGGGCGCTGCACCCCCTCCCCCCCCCAACCCCCCCAACCCCCACCACCTTTCAAGCCGTTCAAGCTTGCTCCAAAGCACATGAAGCCCCTTCAACCCACCACGCGATCAGTGTGTTTGCAAATGGGGGGGGGGTCTGCACCCGCCCCCAACCCTCCACTTTTTGTAAGCTCTGCAAGCTTGCTTCAAATCGTATGAGTTTTTTCCAACCCATCATGCGATCATTGTGTTTGCAAATGGGGGGGGGCTGCCCCCCCCCCCCCAACCCCCCCGCTTCTTTAAGCCGTGCAAGCTTGCCTCAAAGCATATGAGTCGTCTTGTTCAGCCCATCGTGCGATCATTGTGTTTGCAAATGGGGGTGGGGGGGGGGGGGGGGTGGGCCCCAAACCCTCCTGCCTCAAATCAGATGAACCTCTTTTTTTAAGCCATCATGCGATGATTGTGTTTGCAAATGGGGGCCGTGCAAGCTTGCTTCAAAGCATATTCATATGAGTCTTTTTCCAACCCATCGTGTGATCATTGTGTTTGCAAATGGGGGGGGGGGGGCGGGCTGTGCCCCCCCCCGCCGGCGCCCCGCTTGTTTTAAGCCGTGCAAGCTTGCTTCAAAGAATAATGAGTGGTTTTTTGGCCCCCCCCAGCCCCCCCCACCCCCCCTGCAGGCTTGCTTCAAATCATGTGAATCTTTTCTTCCTATAGACAAAATGCAAGTTTTGCTATGGACATATAGAGAAGTTTAAATGGAGGTTTGTTGTCCTATGTAAATGCACACCAATAGAGCGTTCCCTTTGTAAATGTAGAGAAAATCATGGTTTTCTACAGAAACATGTTTCCGACGGAAATATTGATGGTTTTCCTATGAAAATATAGAGAACCGCCTGCCCCCCCCACCACCCCCGCCCACACAACACAACCCCTCCCCCCCCAAAAAAAAAAAACAAAAAAAACAACGACCACCCCAGGTCATCGTCTACATGGGACGTTGTCAAAGAATGCTGTTGGGATGGTGCTTCTTTAGTGTTTGTTGGACTCGAGGTTTCTTAGAGATGAGGGTTACCTGGGGTCAAGCAAGTGAACTTCTTAACGGCCTCTTCAGTACGGACTAAGCCTTTCTACCTTGCCAGGGGGGGACGGGCTGAGGGGGTGGGCTATGATCAACCGAAACTGGAGAGATTCGGCTGTAGCCTATGCCAGAACTGAAACTGAAAACATTCGACTGTGACCTGGCAGGGACGGGTGACGGGGCGATGAAAGACCAGACAAGATGCTTGAGGGGCGGGGGGGGCGGGGAGGAGGCTGGGCGAGGGGGCCTTTGTTAAAACCGAAACTGAAAAGATTCGGCTGCAATTTTGCGAAACTGAAGAGTTCTGGCTGCAACCCTGACAAGGGGGCTGGGGGCCGATGTTAGAACCGAAATGACAGGGAATTAGAACCGAAATTGAACAGAATCGGCTGTAAACCTCAACTCGAGAGACCCTAACCCCCCAAACTCGAACCCTCAACCCCAGAGCCTAAAACCCTCAACTCTAAAACCCTCGACGCACCCCCAAAGCCCCTTGGATACACCAAAGACGGCCCCTACACTCCCTGGTTTAGGGTTTAGGGTTGAGGGTTGCGCAGCCCCGTTCCCCCCGCTTTTTTCAAGCCGTGCAAGCTTGCTTCAAATCATATGAATGTCTTGCTATGGACATATAGAGAAAATGGAGGTCTGTTGTTCTATGTAAATACACACCAAATAGGCTTTTGTAAATGTAGAGAAAATCATGGTTTTCTATGTGGAGATAGCGAAAATAAGTGTTTTCCTACGGAAATATTGACAAGATGTAGTTTTTTGTCCTATGGAAATACACAGAACTGGCTGACCCTCCCCCACCACCCCCACCCACACAACACAACCCCTCCCCCCCCATAAAAAAAAGACCACCCCATGTCATCGTCTACATGGGACTTTGTCAAAGAATGCTGTTGGGATGGTGTTTTTTTGCTCGAGGCTTCTTAGAGATGAGGGCTACCTGGGATCAAGCAAGTCGTTAACGTCAAGGCCTGAACTTCCTAACGGCCTCTTCAGTACGGACTAAACTAAACCGGGAGCGAGGGACCTATATATGTTATTGCCGAGCTCCCGTCGTCCGTCCCCGAACTCCCGGCCGTCCCGTCCCGTCCCGTCCCGTCCCGCCCCGCCCCGTCCCGTCCCGTCCCGTCCCGTCGCCGTCCCGTCCCGTCCCGTCCCGTTCCTCCCGTTCCGCCGTCCCGTCCCGTCCCGTCCCGTCCCGTCCCGTCCCGTGCCGTCCCGTGCCGTCCCGTGCCGTCCCGTCCCGTCCCGTGCCGTGCCGTGCCGTCCCGTCCCGTCCCGTCCCGTCCCGTCCCGTCCCGTCCCGTCGGCGGACATCGAAAACCAACTGGCGGACATCGAACGGGAACCGGCGAACATCCATAGGTCACATCTTGTTTTTCGTTGTCATGATGACTTTTTCGTTGTTCGCCGGTAATATTCCGGGAAACCGAAACCCAGCACTCGCCCTTCTTCGCTGGTTGGCTTGCTTCTAGGGTGGCTACGTTTCTGTAGGGGTTTGGAATCTTGTTGTGCGGGACCAATGGGGATTGGATTTATGGTTTTTTGTTGTGTCCTTCTTTGATATTCTTGAGTGTTTGGGGTTCTTGAGCGGATTGGCTTAAGGTTTCTGCGATCGTTCTTTCGTAAACAACTGTCAATGGTGTGTAACCAGGCGTTTTTGAGTGGGGTTTAGGGTACTTGAACCCTCTGAGTTTATAGGGTTTGGGGGTATGGGTGATCTAGAGGGAAGAAAGGGCCAGTGGTCCTGGCTTAGGTCGTTTTGTTTTTTTGTTTTACAGAATTTTGTCTCAAGGGTTTGGGGTTTTCTGGGTGAAGTGTTAGGGGTGTCGGGTTTAGGGCAAATGCCCGAACTGGCCGGGGGGCTCTGCGTCCCGGAGCCCATGTCCCTAAACCTAAATCATACCGCCCTGAACCCCCTACAGCCCTGAACCGTTACCCCTAAACCTTTGAACCCTTCTGAACCCTAAACCCCCCAAATTAAACCCTAACCCCCTACGCCCGTAGATCCCCAAACCCTCACCCTAAACCCTCAACCCTTAAACCTCTAAACCGCCCTAAACCACCCAGGTCCGCCCGAATTATACCCTAAACCCTAAACCCTAAACCCTAAACCCTAAACCCTAAACCCTAAACCCTAAACCCTAAACCGTCTAACCCCTTAAACCACCCTAAACCCTAACCTCCTAAGCCGCGAAACCCTAAGCCCCCAGACAAGGCCTGTCCACCTTCCACTGGGAAGCGGCGATGCAGTTCTTCATCGCGCACGCGGCGCGCGCTTGGGGAGTGAATGGGGTTAGGATTCACAGGGTTTAGCCCGCAACCTAAACCCTAACCCCTATACATTCCCAACCCCCCGGAATCTCTAAATTCTTTCAACACCTACAGCTTCTGGAAGCCACCTCTAAGACCTTAGACCCTATACCCTAAACCCAAACCCTAAACCGACCTCCAAATTCCCGGATCCTTGCCAACCCCAATTGCAGCTAAACCCTAAACCCTAAACCCTAAAACCCGAAAACCCGAAACCCTAAACCCAAAACCCAAAACCCTAAACCCGAAACCCTGAACCCATTCGCTCTTGAAAGCCCTTCCACAAAGTCATAGAGTCAAGATCTCAAGCGCTTCTGGGTTAAGGGTTTGGGTTTTACACCCCCTTTAGAGTTTAGGGGATATATGGGTTTAGGGATTAGGGTTTCTACAGGGTTGATAACCTTTATGGGGTTTACAGGGTTTATAGGGTTCATAGGGTTTAGGTTTTACACCCCCTTTAGAGTTTAGGGTATGGCTTTAGGGATTAGGGTTTAGGGCTTAGGGTCTACTGGGTTGATAACGTTTATGGTGTTTACAGGGTTTACTTACAGGGTTTGTAGGGTTTTTAGGGTTTATAGGGTTTAGGGTGAGAGCGAGGGGGTGGGGGGGGGGGGGGGGGGGGGGGGGGGGGGGGGGGGGGGAGGGGGGGCGGGGGTGGGGGGGTTCAGGGGGAGGATCCCTTTGCAGTAGGGTTTCGAGCAATGGAGGCGGGGGGAGGCTTCATCAAGGCCTCATACTGATCAGGGCGTAGTTTGCATCGCTTGCTGCGTTTGTGGTCACATGGGTTCTCTCCTACAACGGGCCCTGGGCATTAGGGAACCCCCAAACTTTGAACTTCTAGACCTTCTAAGCCCTAAGCCCTGGACGCTCAACCCTACTGGGAGATTCATGGTACTTTGTGACCCAATTATAGCTGCACTTGAAACCCTGTTGGGCTACTTAAGGGGCTCATAA